GGCCTAGTTCGTTTACGACGATTAGTATAAAACGAACATCCCTCTCTGGGATCCTGTTCAATACATAAATGTACTAGTGCAACTAATCAGTCAAGACAAATCGTACGGTTAACACTACAACCGTTCTGATGGGTTGTTCAATTCCATCTAGGTTGTGAACCAACGATTCTTGTTTCGCAAGTAACTGATATAGTGATCTTCGGTACGCCCGATGACGACCCACTTATCTACATGCAAAACAACAGAACGTGGAACTTATTTAACCAAACATAATTCTCATTCATCAAGGAATAACAAGTGTAATATCCACTAAAGCAAAGCTTAAGTATATAACACCAACAACGTCGACAATGTGCGCATTCAAATATATTGAATAATAAATCCTAACGCACCGGAATCTATAGTTAGGATTAGGACTTACGGTTTAGAAAAATTTTCCGACTCTGAGACGTTTCTAATTTCCGTTGATGGAGATCGTCTGAACACCAAAGTTTAATGGGCAGCTGGACTTGGCCTTTCTCGATTCTATTCGAGTCATCAAGGTGCTCCAATCGCTCATCAAGCTCATCGAATCGTCTAGGACCTTCGGTAGGTTAATCGGACTTCTCGAAACTCGTCGTTAGGTCAAACTGGGGCTTCCGGACCAAACTGGACTGGTTCAGGCCGGGCTGGACTGGAATGGGTCTGGTTGGACCGGGTCTGGTCTGGTCTTGGCCGAACTGGGCTCGCAGGGCATGGCTCGCACATGCTGGGCCGAGGGCTGCACACTGTCGGGCTGCTGGTGAACGCGCGCTGGTGCACGGGTGCGCGGGATTGGCGAGCGTGCACAACGCGTGCGTGTTGTGCGCGCGCGGTACTCCTACTTTTGTACGGACTGGTACGCGGGCGGTCGTGCACGGCACGTCTCCTAGGCAGACACGGACTAGGCATGCGCGTCATCTCCGCGCGATAGGACTCCTGGGCGTGCACGACGGCTCGGTGGTGCGCGGGATGGGCGTGTGTCTGTCTGCGGTACTAGCATACGCAGTGGTACGCAGACGGGCGTGATGAGGGAATCGGTGATCGCGGTTCTTGTCTATTTGCTTGTGAGTAATCGCGCACTCAGGGCCTTTGACTACACACGATAGGTGTGCCTAACTTACGCACTACGGCCTTCTCCTAGACACGTGTGACTTCAAGACGCTCTCAGAGCCTTCTCTCCGACACGATTTGTATGATAAACACGCACTAATGGCCTTGCTTAAACACATGAAAGAACACAATGTTCCCCTTTCTATTCACTCATCAATTCTCAACCTAACCAATAATGAAGAGGTACATGGGTATTTATAGGTGCAAAATTAAATCTAAGCCTAATCAATCTTGATCTCCTAAGTCTTGCAATAATAGAAATCCTAATACTAGAAAGCAATAAAATCCAAATATTACTATATTTCCTAAAGACTTGACTTGCACTCCAATTTACTTGAAGCCCAAGTCATATGCATAAAAACCCTCGGCCGCCTCTCATGCACCGCCTTCGTGCGCGCTGCCCGTCCGCTCTCCTATTCCTTGGCGCGCGAGGAATCACGCGCCTTGTCCCGCACGCATGCGCCCGCCGCCTTCGCCTCGCCTAGTCCTGCGGGGACTAGGCTTCGCTCGCCTGTTTCCCACTCGCGCACTAATGCGCGTGCCTCGTCACCACCGCCTTCCTGTTGCACGTGCGCGCCCTCACCCGTCCTGCCTACACTTGCGCGGATTAGGACGTCCACGCTTGTCCCGCACTTGCGCGCTGTCGCGCGCTCATCATCACTCCCGCTCTCCTCGCGCGCGTGCTGCCGCGCGCCCCACACTCCTACGCCTTCTCGGTCTAGGCTTGCGACCGCGTGCTGCTCACTTGCATGCCTCGCGCTCCCCGTGCCTCCGTTGTTCGAAGCCCGCGCGTCCCAGCCATCTCCGCGCTTAGCCTCAACGCCCGCCAGCTCGCGTCTCTTCCGCGCTCAGCTGACGCCTCGCGCATGCCACCAGTCGCTGCGCCCCATGTTCGCGCATCACTCGCACGATGCACACCTTCGCATATTAGCCCTTCGTTCGCGCCCGACTCTGACCGCTCGCCCGATGGGCCTGGCTCATCCCATGGGTCCCATACTTCCAACCCAATACAATCTCCAGGTCGCCATGTCCAACCGTCCTCCATCCTTTGCTTACCTCGCCTTTGAGCCTCCATCTTACATGCTCGCTTCTTCCTCGCACAAGGCCCACAACAACGACTCACCTTCATAGATTTTGCCTTTCGTCGTCTTCGAGCTTGCCTAGCCTTGCGTTTCCCCGCCTTTGTCTTTGGACCACATCCCTTTGGCCAATCCCTTACGCATGATGGTCGGTAAATCAGACTAGACGGCTCCTCGAGCATGTTCTCTAGCCATAAATCGAGATCTTCAACCATCCCATCACTCGACTCACCGGGGTTATAACCACTTCCGTATCATTCTCCTCCTCTTCAAGACTTTCTTTGTCCTCAAGGATAATAAAATTTAACGCACCTTCATCACCATTGTTTTGAACGTTGGCCACCTCAGCTTCCCTTGCTTCCACGAGTTGTCGTTCACGCTCTTCCCAATCTCTTCATTTGTGAAGCTCCTCCAAAAACTCTTGCTCCCATGCGGTTAATTCCCTCTCCAATCCTTCGAGATATTCTACATCTTCCAGATTCAACTCATCTAATGGTAACATCATGATTTTCTCTCTTTTTTTCTTAAGACTCTAATAAATAAAATCAAAACAACCAGGATGACACTTTTTTTTTATAGTTGACTCTAACTCAGGAAAAAATAGAAAAAAGGACAAAAAATCGATCAAAAAAATTGAACAAAGAAAAAGAAATTCGTCCCCTCAACAAACGACAAACCAGAAAAAAGAAAAAGATAGATAAACAAAAAACCTTGATCGGACACTCTCAACGAAAGCACCAATGATGAGAGAATCCGTGATCGCGGTTCTTGTCTATTTGCTTGTGAGTAATCGTGCACTCAGGGCCTTCGACTACACACGATAGGTGTAACTAACAGACGCACTACGGCCTTCTCCTAGACACGTGTGACTTCAAGACGCTCTCAGGGCCTTCTCTCCAACACAATTTGTATGATAAACACACACTAATGGCCTTGCTTAAACACACGAAAGAACACAATGTTCCCCTTTCTATTCACTCATAAATTCTCAACCTAACCAATAATGAAGAGGTACATGGGTATTTATAGGTGCAAAATTAAAACTAAGCCTAATCAATCTAGATCTCCTAAATCTTGCAATAATAGAAATCCTAATACTAGAAAGCAATAAAATCCTAATATTACTATAATTCCTAAAGACTTGACTTGCACTCCAATTTACTTGAAGCCCAAGTCAAATGCATAAAAACCCTCGGCTGCCTCTCATGCACCGCCTTCGTGTGCGCTTCCCATCCGCTCTCCTATTCCTTGGCGCGCG